GAAAGTTTGGAATAATAATGAAGGAAACTTCATTTTTAGAGCCAAAAACCCCACAGTCCAGCCCATCCTAAGTGAATATGAAATGGTTTTTCCGAGGTATTATTACTTGATTGCTTTCTCATCATTCTTAAATCTTTGTGTCAGAAGAGGGACTGAAATAGCACCTCTGGAGTATACCTAAGCTCCTAGGAAAGAGATCCACTTGCCTTGTACATTATTAAGAAATAAGTATCCAACATGTATTTGGCAATTACTGGTTAGAGTTATTTCCTTCTGATAGAGCATAAAAGTCCTTTTTCTTTCCTCTTGTTGGGTAGTTTTGCTAATGTATCTCATTTAGATGAATCCAAATCTCCTTTGAGTTTATCCTTGGTTCCCAAGGTCTAGCATTTATGAAATATCTAAACCATGATGGAGTCCGGTTGGGGTGTCAGGGAGGACATTAGAGTTTTGGGAACCAGGCATTTTCTTAAATTGCTGAACATCAAATTTGCAGCAAATCTACTTTCTTTCAAGTCCAACGACCATCTCCCTTTCAAGGCAGCTCTTCATTTTCCCAATAAAACTCTAGGAGACAAAGTTCAAGTCCTCTGCCTCCACAGTGGATCCAACACTGTGTCAGGAGCCTGTGGGGCAGCCCTGTGTGGGATGGCCCGTTCCCAGCCGGGTCGAAATCTGCTGTGACTGCAGGACAGTCAAAAGCTGAAACGAGGTGCGAGAGGCCAAATCACCCAACTCTTCACCCAGGCAAGAAGGCCCCGGGTGGTTCTGGGTAAAGACCCTTCCACACACCTGCCTCCCCATGTACAGCCTGCATCACTCCTGCTCCAGGACTGACGTCCCCTTCAGCAGCGCGGGTGGAAAGGACAAAGGACACGTGTGTCCATAGGAGAGCTCTTCATAGTAGGGGCCGAGGGACACAAGGCAGTAAAGAAGCAGGAACCCAGGAAACAACACACTTGCCCCTTGTCCCGGCGAGGCTGTGCCCTCCAGCCACCGCTGCTGAAACGACGCCTACGTCAGAGGTGAAGCTCCACAGCTGACACAGCTGGGGCCCAGGCAGGCTGGGAGCAAACCCACCATGTGCTGTACGTTCCTGCCTTTTTTTTTTTTTTCATTCTTTCCTTAAAAAAAAAATCTAGCTCACAGACAACAGAGGAAGGACACAACATAAAAGTTTATATGGAAAAAAAAAACCTTGCCTTTCAGATCTGGTGCTCATAAAACCACATCCAGTATAAGGGGCCGACAGCAGCCTGGTGTTTCTCACAGCTGCTCTTCACAGATTTTCACATTAGTTTACAGCCCAGGGGTTTTGCGAGACTCTACTGGGGGCAAATCAGAGCATCTGGCTGACCTTCTGACTTGTGCTCATTCAACCCTCCCCCAAATGAAAATTATCTTTGTTTTTTAAGCAACCCTATCTCATCATTGCTCCATTAAACTTTCAACAGACTTATATCCTCCAAGTCCACCTGCCAAAGTGATTTGACTTTAAGCTGCCATTTGGCAAAGCTGGGGAAGGATGTCTCTGGTCAAATAAGTTGAGGGAATGCCACAGAAAAGACTTTTTGGGAGACTCCCAATGTACATTTGCATGTTACCATCAATGAGAAGTCCAACAGTTACCAGGTTTTCTCCAACCTACGTCTTCCACGAGAGACATCGTGCAAACGGAGCATGCCGAGAAGCAGTC